CTGGTCTTTCTGTAGTTTCTGTCTGGTCTCTCTCTAGTCTCTCCCTGGTCTTTCTCAGGTCTCTCTGGTCTTTCTTGTCTCTCTCTGGTCTCTCTCTGGTCTTTCTAGTCTCTCTCTTATCACTCTTAGATTAAAAATAAAATAAAAACTTACACAAGGTCAGTGTTCACAGAGACAGGTTTCATCGACAGCACAAGCCTCTCTCTTCTTATTTACATTGAACTCAACACGTTTATGAAGACGACTCAATTTCCCGTTCGTCACAATTTCAAACTCCTGATATGTCCAGGATAGATAGATTGGAGAGGTTTGGGATATTGTTTGCTCTTGCATAAGCGCGCAGCAGGCCGCGGCGCGCACAGACAGAGCAGCTCGTTCATGAAAGTAAAATATGTGAGAGAATCTGGTAAACACTGTGCAAGATGTCCAAGCCTCCGCTCCCGGGCTCCAGACACCCGTCCACTCATCAACCGCACTTTGCTTTTACCCACAAAACATCACTGCATCCTCTCCTCATACCATCTGTGCGTCTAACACCAAAAACTAACATCCAGTCGCATTCTCTCTTTTGACTTTCGGAAGTTTAAAGCCCACTAGAACGACTCATTTCACTCAAAGGATATTTTTAAGATGAACAGCAGCCAATCAGCTCTCAGCGTGTAAATACATTTTTTCTAGTTCTTTGAGTTAGGGTCGCAACATGGACTTTCTGAGTGGAGTTTGCATGTTCTCCTCCCCTTGGATTATGCTCTTAACCAGTCAAATCCTCCAGCTCTGGTCCTGACCAAGCCGAGAAACAGGAGTAAGACGTCCGGCCGGGAAAAACAGTCAACAGGACAGACAGGAAGCAAAACAAAAGATACAATAGTTTTGAGACCGAGATTTATTCGTCATTGTTGGGTACATTGCTGCAGAATAGGAGGAGACAGGTATTAATTAATATGATAGAAGAAAAGAATTAGATCTATGAATTATAAAGAAAAAGTTGACACCACGACAATTCTAACAGGATGCCACCCGATTCTACACAGACAGTTATAAAAAAAAAAATGTATTGTTATATCCAGAACATTTGACCTATTTGTGATTGAACAAGACATTCTTTATAACAGGCCAAAAAACACCCCAAAAAATTACATCCATCCATCCATCCATTTTCTTCCCCTTAATCCATTTCTGGGTTGGGGGGTGGCAGTCAGGGATGCAACCAATACAAAAAAAATTTAAACATTCAATACAATATAAATTCATTGCTACAAAGCAACCCATCATCTAGTGCAGGGGTCACCAACGCGGTGCCCGCGGGCACCAGGTCGCCCGTAAGGACCAGATGAGTCGCCCGCTGGCCTGTTCTAAAAATAGCTCAAATAGTAGCACTCAAGCCTAGTGCGCTGCGCGGAGCTTACGGAGGTGACGTGACGTCACTTGCGCAACGCGTGGATCACATCAAGGGTAGCCTGCCACGCACCCTCTGCGGCCAACGCCGCAGAAAAGCTCCGCTGTGATTGGTCCGTGTGTGAGAGGAGCTCCGCTGTGATTGGTTCGTGTGTGTGTTTTGGACGGAAGCATGGAGCGGCTGCAGGGAGCACGGACGAGGCACTTCGGAGCAGACCGCTTTGTGCTTCGAAGGAACCGAAGGAAAAGTAGTTTGGTCTCATGGCAGAGCCTGATATAACTTATAAACTGTGCAGTTGTTTCTTTTGCACTGTTCCTGTCTTGTTTGCGTTGTAGCTTATCGCGTCTGTTGCATTCCTACTGCACTTATAGTTCGTGTTTTTCTCAGATATTTACCACTTATTGATTATCTGTTTGTGCTGAATACACTTTAATAATAACTATGTTTCCAACAAGAACTGTGTCTTTATTCACAACATCAGAGTTAAATGAGTTGAAACGATGAGTTTAGAACTGTCACATAAACCTACAGTAGAAACACATGTAATGATCTCAAACAGCTTCACTGTTGTTTTTGTTCTGAAGAGGAGAAAGTAGCAGCGTAAATGGGACTGCTTTGGTTTCTAAACTCCTGTGAGATCACCATCACGTGTGACGAGAGTTGACTTTTGTATTTTATATGAGTTATTATTTGTATAAACATGGTGCAAAGTTATTCATGATTTGTTAAAAAATGTTAGTGGCTAGTTGGTTAAAATGGGATATTGTGATTTCACAAGAAGTGATCGTTTGAAAATGTTCAATTTGAAAAATGTTGCATATTGATATTTATCTGTTTCTATATATATTTATTGTGAGAAATCGTTAAGATGATCAGTGTTTCCACAAAGATAAATATCATTAATTATTAATATGAACAGAGTTAAAAGTAAATTGAGCAAATTGGCTTTTTCTGGCAATTAATGTAATTGTGTAACAAACTGGTAGCCCTTCGCATTAATCAGTACCGGAGAAGTAGCTCTTGGTTTCAAAAAGGTTGGTGACCCCTGATCTAGTGAGTCATTATTGTCCATATCATGGCTACTTTTGGGTTAGTCCTCATTTGGGAGGAAGTTTAATCCTAATCCTAACCCAAATAAATCCTGTGTAAGATCTGGTATGAGCACACATTCACGGTGCTGGTACATTTATTTCAGTCGTGTTGTGACCTGTGCTTAAGTTTGACCCGTTCTTTTATTTATCATTTGCACTAATTAGCTTTCTACTTAAAAGTAAGCCCTGTCCTCTGTCCTGGCCGCGGGACAGGGCTGCCCTCGGTCCCCTTCACTCCCCACACTATTCTCTCTTTCAACAGCGATTACTTTGTCTCTCTTAGGTGCCTCTGGTCTCACTCTTTCTGGTCTCTCTCTAGTCTCTTTATCTTGTTGGTCTCTCCCTTTCTGGTTTATTTGGTCTTTCCTAGGGCTCAGTTTCAACAGCAAATACTTTGTCTCCCTTAGGTGCCACTAGTCTCTCTCTCTCTCTCTGGTCTCTCCCTCTCTGGTCTCTCTCTCTCTGGTCTCCCCATCTCTGGTCTCTCTCCCTCTATCTGATTTATCTATCTCTCTGGTCTCTCTCTCTCTCTCTCTGGTCTCTCCCTCACTGGTCTCTCCCTCTCTGATCTCTCTATCTCTCTGCTCCTCTCTCTCTGGTCTATCTAGCTCTCTGATCTCTCCCTCTCAGGTCTGTCTCTATCTAGTCTCTCCCTCTCTGGTCTCTCTTCCTCTCTGGTAACTCACTGCTCTCTCCCTCTGTGTTCACTGGCTCTGGTCTCTCTCTTTTCTCTCCCTCTCTGGGCTCTGTTTTGACAGCGAAAACGTTGTCCCTCTAAGGTGCTTCTGGTCTCTCTCTCACCCCCTCTGGTCTCTCTCTCTCTGGTCTCTCTCGTCTGTCTTAGGTCTCCATTTCGACAGCGAACACTTTGTCTCTCTTAGGTGCCTTTGGTCTCGTGATCTTGTTGATACTCCCAGATGGGACGCAGCCATTTCCCGGCAGAATTGGAATCAACAGATTGACGTTAGCGGAAAAATAGATGCAGCAAAGCGATCAGCGGGAGGCCAATGGAAACAATTCGAGGAAAGAAAAGAATGAGGCGGGAAAAAATGTGACTGAGATACATTTTTATCCCTGGGCAGAATGTGGCAGTGACAGGGAAATGTATTATTTTGGCAGCGAGGAGAATTGATGATGCTAAACGCTGACAGACACAGACAGACAACGCCTTTTGATGCAGAAAAGGAGAATACTTATAGCGGACTAGAACCAGGATGGGATTCGCTGGATATGTCTCTGGGGACCCCCGGCATAAATCCAAAACCAGGACCGACAGCCACATTTCAGAACAAAACAAACAAAAACTGGAACGACTTTTCGAGACACATATTTTCATATTACTGTTGTAAATACTGAGTGTGTACCAAGAAAGATGAACATTTCCATACGGGGTATCTCTTTCTGGTCCCCCCTCTCTCTCTCTTTCTGGTCTCTGGTCATTCTTTCTCTGCTTGCTCTCTGTTTTTTTCTTATGTCTCTCTGCTCTCTCTTGCTGGTATCTCTCTGATCCTGATCCCTGTGGTCGCTCTCTCACTTTCTGGTATCTTGGGTCACTCCCTCTCTCTCTGGTATCTCTCTGTTTTTTTTTGTTCTTGTATTTACAACTTTACTATCGGCTTAACTTATGGTCTCTCTCTGGTCCCCCTCTGGCCTCTCTCTCTGGTCTCTCGCCGAACCTATATGGAATTTCTCTGGTCCCTGTCTATCTGGTCTCTTTTGTATCTCTGGTCACTCTCTGGTCATTCTAGTCTCTCTTTTGTCTCTCTCTGGTCTCTTAGTAGTTTCTCTCTGGTCTTTATCAGGTCTCTGTCTCTCTCTAGTCTCTTTGATTTTTCTAGTCTCTCTCTTCTCTCTCTGGTCGCTCTCTAGTCCCTCTGTAGTTTCTCTCTGGTCTCTCTCCGGTCTTTCTGGTCTCTCTCTGGTCTCTCTAGTCTCTCCCTGGTCTTTCTCAGGTCTCACTTGCATCTCTGGTCTCTCTCCGGTCTTTCTGGTCTCTCTCCTGTCTCTCTCTGGTCTCTCTAGTCTCTCCCTGGTCTTTCTCAGGTCTCACTTGCATCTCTGGTCTCTCTCTGGTCTTTCTGGTCTCTCTGGTTTTTCTCAAGTCTCTCTTGTATCTCTGGTCTCTGTTGTCTCTCTGCTACCTCTCTGGCCCTGTAGTCTCTTTGTAGTCTCTCTGTAGTCTATCTCTGGTCTCTCTCTGGTCTCTCTCTGGTCTCTGTGGTTTCTCACTGATCGCTTCAGCGTCTAGTCTCTCTCTAGACTCTCTGTGGTCTCTCTCTAGACTCTCTCTTTAGTCTCTCTTTAGTCTCTCTCTAGTCTCTCTCTAGACTCTCTCTGTGGTCTCTCTTTAGTCTCTCTTTCGTCTCTCTCTAGTCTCTCTCTTGTCTGCCCCCTTTCCTGCTCCTTCACGCCGGATCGGTCACGCGTCCTGTTGATATGACAACTCCCCTCCACATTTAGCTGCGTTTGACTCGTTGCCGTGGTAACTAATGAAGGGCTGTCTCTCTCCTCAGGAACCATGGTGGTACAAGTGGCAGCCACGGACGCTGACGACCCGACCTACGGGAACAGTGCCAGGGTGGTCTACAGCATCATCCACGGACAGCCCTACTTCTCTGTGGAGCCCAAGACCGGTATGAGCTGGGTTCAAACTCACACTTACTATGGCTTCTTTTTCAAAAGGGTCATTTGTGGTAATTCTAAAAGTTTACAGCCGGAGCAGCAAATGCAAATATTTGGGTATTTCCCTGGTCCATCTGATCTCTATTTCTGGTGTCTCTGTCTTTTGTCTCTCTCTAGTCCCTCTCTCTAGGCTCTCGTTGGTCTCTCTCTGAAGTCTCAGGTCTCTCTCTCTCGTTGGTCTCTCTCTGTAGTCTCAGGTCTCTCTCTCTAGTCTCTCATTGGTCTCTCTCTGTAGTCTCTGGTCTCTCTCTCTCTGTAGTCTCTGGTCTCTCTCTCTCGTTGGTCTCTCTCTGTAGTCTCAGGTCTCTCTCTCTAGTCTCTCGTTGGTCTCTCTCTTTAGTTTCTGCACTCTCTCTGGTCTCTCTCTGGTCTCATTGGTCTCTCTCTCCAAGCCTCTCGTTGGCCTCTCTCTGGTCTCTCTTTCTGGTCTGTTATTCTAATTCACGGTTCTTCTATAAAGTTCACCGCCTGAGCAGCAACGACAAATATATAAGCTCTATTTTCAACCACAGTTTGTCTGAGTGTCTGATCGGTGAAGCAAAAGTCGTCTCCCTTTTTTCCGTTGTAATTTGAGTTTCATGACACAAATGATAACGCAAAATGAAATCGAAAGCACGAACACACACACACACACACACATACACACACTTGCTTTCCAGCTATTGCACACTGACACTATTTAGCCACAAATCAGCACCAGTCAACTCTTGAGACATATAATAAGCATAAGGAGAATAATTTAACTTATGGATCGCAATTAAACAGCTGATCCCACCGCCGCCAACCGCAGCTACGTTTTTTTACCATAAGCACAAAGCTACCATTAAGCGTTGTTTACTGTGCACTTTTCACGGTGGAAAAGTGCTTCACCGTATTAAAAAAAACAAGTACCCATCTCGCCGTATGCATTTCTACGGTAACAAAGCAGTTTAAGAGAGTCGCAGCCTCCAAAGAGCAGAGGTTTAGAAAGAAAGTCACAGAGAAACTAAAATGGATACACAAACAAGGCACAAAACTATTCTTTGTGGATTTGTTAATAAACCAGTGTGGCTTAAAATAGAAAATAACAAGGGGGAGGTTTGTTCTGGCTCTAAACCCAATATTCTTAGAGTTACATGTAACCCCTGAATAACACCAATAATAATAATATTTATAACACAGTTGGTAATGTGTAATGAATGTGCAAAATAAAAGTAATGGGCTAGAAATGTGAAGTCTTGGATTTGTTTTTGGCCAATTGGCATATGATAAATTATAGATTACTTACTAAAATCCTTAACATAGTCGTTTGGTACCTTGAAAAATCAAAGCCAAGACTGCTTTGACAATGAGATAATTATGAGTCAGAGAGGCGTAATCATAACAAAAGCTCAACATAATGGACCCAGACATCAGGCTCGGACAGAGTAGGCGACCTGTCTGCGCTTACATCATCTAGAAGTTCTTTGTATATTCTTTACAAGTACCAGGGAGACGGTTGCCTGGCCTGCCAAACGATATGCTTTTTCAAAGACATATAGTCTGGGAACGAGCTTGATCTCAGCGAATTCCCGGTGGGCGTGGTTGACAGACTGCATCAACCAATTAGATGCACACAGGATATGACGCAGCAACTAGCGGCACCCAAGCCGTTTCAGTAAACACAAAACAAGGGATGGCGGCATGTCAGCTAGTGCAAATGTAAACGACTGCTGTCGATTTTGTAACAAAAACTTAAAGATACGAGGAGTTATTAGCAACTCAAAGGTGAAAGGAAGTCCCGCCTCTCGGTGCGTGATTGGACCGATGTGGGTAAAATCGTGAAATGATAGGCTAGGAAGAGGTGTCCAGACGGTTCTTCTTTTGAACAGAAAGGAGGAGTGTCTGGCAGGCCAGGCAAGGGAGACGGTTGAAGAGTGTTTCTAACCAATGTAAATCAGCTCCAATTTCCCTCAGCTTCAGCACGTTGTATGTTGATATATGTCCATGTTTTTGCCCCTGACAACCGCGGTTCATCGCTGGCAGATGCAATATGATCTTTTTGTGAATTTCTTAAGGTCTGTATTTATCTCTCAGACCTGACCAGAAGTTCTAACACACAAAAAGACATACCTATCAGGACATATCGGACCCAGTCAAATCCAGTCATCATGGTTCTCTGACTGTTCTAACTGATCTCTGTGGAAAAGACAACATATTCAAAGTCTGGATCCAACATGTTTCTCTTTTGCCTTCGATTTTCTAACTTTCATTTTGGCGAAGCAAGGTCAGTGACAATCCCGTCCTGCATGTTTGTCTAAAACCCCGTGTGGTTCAATGTTCCGCTCGCCACCACACTCAGCAGACATCGCTCCAGTTTCTACATATTTTCGAGTGGGGAAAAGTACATCACAATTAAAGTACTCCTACCCGAGCAGCACACGTTCAGGCACGGGGAATACACAGTGCAGGCAGGTCCAACCTCAGGCCCGGGGACCAAATGCGGCCCACTGTGTCATTATATGTGGCCCAATGGTGTGGACTTTTTGTTGGTTTCTTTACATACTTTTGTATTTATTTTTCCTTTGGCATTTGTTTGGTTATATTCAGCTCTTCTGCTTTTGGGTCCTTCGTTGTTTTAATAGCGTCATCCAGCCAACTTCAGCTCCACCAATGAGTCATGTAATACCTCATTGTGAAGCTTAGAACCTTTGGAATCTCGATGACGCTAATGCAGCTGTAGTGTGGATCAATATACGAACCCAGTTGAGCCCAAGTCTGGACAAGTCTGGTGAACGAAAGTGGCCTCTTACTAAGAAGTCTGAACACCCCTGACGTAGTGAATTGAACGTGTTGTTTATTTTAGAATCACACTTGGACTTATGTAGATAGTAGTGGCTTCTTCTATGATTCCAACTTTGTATGTGTTGTATTGTGTTGTCCTTGTCCTGCATAAGTCTAAAAACTTCAGAGAGAGACATTACTCGGTTTGGAAGACGCAAAGAAGGCATAGAAATCGCTGCGTCACAGAGAACGCATAGACAGAGTGAATGTATGTCTTTTCTAGTGGTTCACAATAGGATAACAAAGCCACGACAGAACCAGACGAGTCAGAGTGTGGCAAACAGTAGAAGAAAGGGCAGCATTTCAATAGGTTTCTGTCTCATTCTTCTGCCGAGATCACAGTGTGACTCATGAGCAGAGTGCAGAGAGAAAGCCCTCTTGTTTCATCTATTTGGATATTCTTAAACCCCTGGTCCATACATAATCACAGGGCCAGCCTCACGGTCCATCTTCCAGAAACATGAGTTGGTAATAATTATAAAAATACATCGGTTTTATACAGTGATTTTAACGACACTCAAAGATGTTTCAAAAAACTACTACTGAAGCCACAGCTGCCCTGGGGCAAACTGACAAAGCAAGGTAACCAGCCAATTACACACACACACACCAGACCCAAGTGTCTTGCCTATCCACAGTTTGGCACTTTACAGCCGCAGCCGCCCCACTGTGGCACCTGGTGTTCCCAGAGGTCTCCCGTCACAATACTAACCAGGCCCTCTCCTGCTTAGTTGCAAAGGTCTGACGGAATCTGGCTCTCACCTGCAGGTATGGCCACATTTAGTCCAGATTTTAGACCTGGTTCTAGTCCTGTTTCAGACCTGGTTCAGTAGTTGTTCAGTCTTTGACCTGTTTCTACGAACATATTCATTGGAGGAGAGTCACTATTTGACTCTTTGGGCTGAGCTGATTGGCTGAAAAAGATTATCTAAACGTGTGACAGAGACAGACAAATACACAAAGGTGAAAACTACCGACAAACAAAGTACAAGTCCGATAGAAATCATTTAATTTTAGTTTGAAATCTCCGAACCCCAGCTTTAACTTGATATATCTCTTTGTCTCCAGAGATTTTCCACAGCTGCACTTTTTTAAATCCGACTCCTCTTGAATAATTGTGCAAAGACGCTGATCGCACAAGATTCCAATATCAACAGTGGCTTATTGGACGACGGTCAAATTCCGTGTAAAGAAATTATATATATTTAATCCAAAGTAAAAAATCCCCCAATCTTCGGCATCTGCCAAAACACCACTTTTATTGATTTGAACAGCAAGAGCTCAAGTGATAAGTACAGACAATTAAAAGCCATAAAATATATCTCGGCTTATTAAATCTGAGGGGAAGTCATGGTGCGGCGGCGAGGAAGCAGCCGGAATGCAGCTCCAGACAGTTTGTAAAGTCTCAGGGCGTTTGATCTCGCCGATGCCACGGACGCCTCATTAGCCACCGCCCCACCGCGATCTCGGACACTCAAAAAGCAGCATCGTCTATCCCATAATATCCTCCTAATGCCTGCGAACACACACACACACACACACACACACACAGGGTCGGAGACAGTGGGACTTAAGAAATGCACTTCTAGTTCTTCTGAAGCAGAGAGACGCCGCATTGCAGACATCTGAGGCCCAGAAAACACCAGAGAAGAAGGACAGAGGATGAGTTATTACGAGGCAATGGAGAGGTTTGGGCTGGATCCTGTTCCATTTTAACTCAATTATTTTTGTATTGCCCTAAATCACAATAGTAGTATCTCGGAGGACTTCACAAAGCTGTTGATTCGCCCACACAGATCAGAGAATCAAAGATTATGGAGGCATTGGTCATAAGGGGCAGATGTCCTGGATCTACAGCACTGTCCTTAGAGCCTCCTTAACAAAAAGAGGGTCTAACGCTGCAAAAAAGGTAATAATAGTCAAGATAAGAATGACTTGAATCCAGAATACTGTCGTTTTTTATCTCACGTTTTTTCAGTGTAGATTTATATAATGTGTGTATTTTAAAAAACAGTAATATTTTGTTGTTAGAGATTTTTTATGGCTTAATGTTTGTGGTTGATGTAACGTGTTGGTTTATCGATGATCCAAAATCTAGAGAGAGAGAGAGAGAGAGAGAGAGAGAGAGAGAGAGAGAGAGAGAGAGAGAGAGAGACCAGAAAAAGGGGGAGAGAGATAGACCCGAGAGAGTCAGAGAGAGACCAGAAAAAGTGGGAGAGCGACCAGAGAGAGACACTAGAGAGAGACCAGAGAGAAAGAGGGAGGAAGAGAGAGAGAGAATCAGAGAGAGAGAGGACCGTCATGAATATCTTAAATTGAATGAGGCTGAATCTGAACTATTGTAAACACTTCCTCGATCAGTCGTCTCACTGTACGTACATAACTAACCTTCCACAGGCTACAGTTGTAAAGTCACATGTTTTCTTTTGTATAAGACTAATGTTTATTGTGCTTTGTCCCTGATCAAAGAAATCCTTCTCTACTGCTACATTTCAAAGCCTTCGCTGCAGTTTCCTTGTGTGTAATAGTTGTGTGTTTGTGAGTCGACTTTGGGAAAACAGATTGAAACTGGCCCAGGGCTTATTCCAGAGAGGTGCTCATTAACATGCTCTGTCCCAAAACAAAATAAATACAATATAACGATAAACAATATTATTGAAATGACTTTGTGCCGCGAGAGAATGACAAATCAAAATAATAGTAAAAAACAAAATATAAAAACAAAAGATAAAAAGGTGTTGGAACAAAACAATTAGGTTGGATTTGACTATTTCTATACTTTGACATCACATTTGTCCATACCTCTGAAGCTAAGCGGGGAAGGTCCTGGTTAGCGCTGTGATGGGAGACCTCTGGGAACAACAGGTGCCACAGTGGGGCGGCTGTGGCTGTATAGTGTGTAAACTGTGGCTGTGTCCTTAGGCAAGACACTTCCCCCACATTAGAATGAGTCTGGTGTGTGTGTGAATGGTTGGTGGTGGTGGGAGGGGCTAATGGCGCAGACCGG